CGGGGGAAGGGGGCCCCGGGAGGAGGGCGCTGCTCGATAACGACGCCCGAGCGGGCTGCGTCATCTCGATAGCGCTCTGCTTACCGGGCTTTCGCATACAGCCTATCTCCGCTGGTACTCCTGCCAGCGGAGAGGGGTTTTGCTTTCCTCCTCGAGCTGAGAGGAGGTAGATACGCCAAGGAGCGACCTGGAGAGCATTTTTGTGGGAGCGAAAGGCCTTTTCTTCCCTTTAAGCGTGCCCTTACAGAGCCAGCTTCGGCAATTCCCCCCGCACGTAGAGACATCTCTGCAAGAAGTAGGTCAGGGAAAATAACGTTACTCATCCATGTAAATGTTTTCCTTCATGCTTACTGCAGGAGACAAGCTGCTCCCCTCTAAACTTAATGCAAACGTGTGTCAAGAGCAGAGACAAGGGCGCTGCTGCAAACCAAACCCAGCTCCCCCCTCCACCCCAGGAAGGGGGAGGGGGGGAAAAAAAAAGAAAAAGAAAAGAAAATTAACAAAACATTCAGTTGGGAGGGAGTTTGAAAGCCAGAGGAAGCCTGGAGAAAGGCCAGCGGAAGCGTTAGTGCGTCTCCGCAGCAGGTGTTTCCGAAGGGAAGCACCCGTGGAATAAATACCGGTTACTCCGCGGAAGCCGCCCGCTCGCAGAGAGCGGCGGAATCAGCGCGGGGAGCTTAACGAGGAGGGCTTGATTGCTTCCCCTCCACCCCGGCTCTCCGGGGGCAAACCAGCCGCTCGGCCGCTTCGTTCAAAACCGATTCCCGAACGACAGGCTGAAAGGGCCCTCGAAACCTCAAGTTTTGGGGCAGGGAAGCCCAGCGGAACCGCGATTGATTTATAATAAAGTGCAAAACACACATAGGCTAGCATAAAGTTAACTACCACGGAAACTAGAAGGTTACGGTTAACATTTACTGATTTTATTTTACTTATTTTGTTACCACGGCAGGGTGAAGAAACCTGAAAGTTACAAAGATCTAACTCACGTTTCACGAGACAAATGCAGATAGGAAAACAAGGTTTAAAGATCACACCCATTCTCAGAATACAAAGAAAAAGGAAACAAAAACAATCAAATCATGAAAAATAGTGTAGAGTGATCTCTGCAGATATATTTTTACAAACTGAAGACCAAAAGCTCCTTTGTACGCCTAAATCTACTTAAGTTTTGTGTACAAAACCAGATATTTCAAAAATGTTTCCCCCTTTTTGTTTTATATATTTTTTGCAATTCTGAAAAAAAAGTTTACAAAAACAAAAAAAATCCAAAAGTCTTGTAAATTCCTCAAAGTTTTTTTTGTGGTTTTTTTTTGTGTGTTGTTTTTTTTTTGCTTGTACGTCATGAACAAACAGATTCGACTCTCCTGATTGCTTAGCGCTACTAAGATAGGTGTATAACATGTCCTATTGTCCTAGCCACTACAAACAGGAGGAGGAGAAAACAAACAAACCCTTAGAGTCTATCCTAACACACTGCACGAGCGGGTGGCGGCTGCCGAAGCAAGTTAAACCCGTTGATACGGCGCGCCAGCTGGATGTCTTTTGGCATGATGGTGACTCTTTTGGCGTGAATTGCACACAAATTGGTGTCTTCGAAGAGACCCACGAGATAAGCCTCGCTGGCTTCCTGCCGGATGAAAACCACAGCAATAATCAGAGGTCAATTCGCAGAGACCGAACGCTCGGCCACAGCCTTTTCCACGCACCAAAAGGGCTCCTGCGCTGCGCCGCGGGTCGGGGGTTGCCAGACTGCAAGCGCTCGGCAGCCGGCGCGATAATCCGAGCGCCCGAACAGGAGGCCGTCAGTGCTGCGTTCCTAATTAGCTCTGTCTCTCCGTCACATGCTCCCTAAGTGTCAGTTAATCCCATTTTAACTAGTGAAGGAACCAAAGGTTCCAGCGGATGATTCATACGGGGATGACTTAAGGGGTTATCGCTTCTAGTAAACAACTCCCCCATTGTTCACTGAGGGTTATCGGGCCTGCGGCGCGGTCAACAGAAAGAAACTTGTTGTTTGCGTGTCGGACACACTAGTAAGTTGGGGCAAACCTGCCTTTTTTGGCAGCGCGAGCTGCAGCGAGGCCTCTCGAGTGAGAAAGGCTGCACGCAGGCACACAGGGCAGGGCAGCTCAGAGGCAGAGGCTACGGGAACGAGAGCGTTTTCCACGTGCTGCCTCAGGCGCAGGCCTGTCGTCTTTGCGCTGTTTTATTACTCGGAACCGGGTCAGGATGACACTCGGGAAGATATTTCACCGCTTTCTAGGCGTCAAGCTTGCCTGGCACAGGGAAGGGGTGAATTCACTCACCTGCAGGGCTCCGATGGCAGCGCTCTGGAACCGCAGATCCGTTTTAAAATCCTGAGCAATTTCACGGACCAGGCGCTGGAATGGAAGCTTGCGGATCAACAGCTCCGTGGATTTCTGGTACCGTCGGATCTCCCGGAGGGCCACAGTGCCAGGCCTGGAAGATATTTCAGCTGTTAAACTAGAAGGTTGCTTCTTCCCCCCTCCCCGTCCATTGCATGTTTGAAATTACAGCCTCTCTACATCAAGTCCAGGGACTTATCCCCTTCCAGCCCGTCCTCCCTTCTACAAAAAGGGGCTGAAGCGTTCTGCCTTCAAGAGCGTGCGTGTGTAGAAGCCCTCCAGGCTACAGTCTGTGACATTAACAGTAACGGCACAGACCAGATCTGGTTAAAAATTTAAAAAAATAAATGAAAAAACGCAGTACTCAAAAGGGGACCAACAACATTGACAGTCCCCAATATTAACCTACTGGTAACTGTGAGCTTTTTCCTTTTTAAGTGGCCTCGCGGTACTTTTTCCTTCCCAGACAAGGACTGAAGCAGCGCCGAAATTCCTGCCTCCGAGCAGGAGATGTGTCAAACGTGGTCGTAGGCTTGGCCGCAAGCCTCTTTGTATACATGCAGGTGATCCTCACTCTTCTGTTTTAACAATAAGCCAGCAGGATAATGTTTTATAATGCTGTTCTCAGAGGTAACGACACAAATCTTATGTGCAGCTACGGGGCGGGGGGGCGCCTCTACGGCGGCGCCGCGTGAAATAACGCGCGGCGAGAGACGGCGCCTGCTGCGGCGAGCTCACAGCCTAGACGTTGAAGGCGAAGAAAGGGGAAGCGGGGCAGCCCAGGCCCGGAGGAGGGACGCGACCTCGGGCAAAAAGCGACCAGCGGCAG